TGTCGTGGTCACTGCAGCCAAGGCTATCCCTAAGTTTCACATCGCCCACCAGTCCCTCCCTGTTGGTGAGCACAAGGTCGAGCATGGCACCCCTCCTTGTCGGCTCCTCTATCACGTGCAGGAGGAAGTTGTCGTCCATGCATTCTAGGAACCTCCTGGACTGCCTGTGCCCTGCCGTATTGTCTCTCCAACAGATGTCAGGGTGGTTGAAGTCCCCCATGAGGACCAGGGCTTGTGACCGCGAGGCTGCTCCTATCTGGCTATAAAGCGCCTCATCTGCTCTGTCCTCCTGGCCAGGTGGCCTGTAACAGACCCCTACTGTAACATCCCCTGTCCATCCCCGTCCTCTAATCTTGACCCATAAGCTCTCTGTCAGCTCCTCCTCCGACCCCAGGCAAAGCTCCACGCACTCCAGCCGCTTGCTGACGTAGAGAGTGACACCCCCTCCTCGTCTCCCTCTCCTTTCTAAAAAGCTTATACCCCTCCATGTTGACACTCCAGTCATAGGAGTCGTCTCACCACGTCTCCGTGATGCCAATAAGGTCGTAGCCCTGCTCATGTGCACGCATCTCCAGCTCATCCTGTTTATTTCCCATGCTGCGTGCGTTAGTGTACATACACTTCAGCTGGGCCTCCGACGAAGCCGACTCGCTGGCTGGAGCGACAGGGGTTCTCTTGGACGGCAGTGTAAGTTCGTTTGAACATACCTGTGATCATTCTTCTGTTATTTAGACTGCAGTAATTTCATCCTGTGTCAGATTCCCTGACACATGCATAAATACATGCATGTGCGCTGCAGTGTGGCAGAAGGTCAAGGTCAGGTCTAAATGAAGTTTCATTATGGTGGTTGAAGTCCAGAGGTCCCAATGGAAGTCATAGGACATACACACTCTTGTCTGTGAGACGCAAACATAACAAACGAGAATATCTGGGTGGGTTTGAGCTCTGCAATGTTCCTGGTGTTAAGTGTACCTCTTGTCTAACAGATGCAGACAGGCAAGATTCTATCAATCTCTTTCTGGGAGTATTCAAGCCTACAGAAGGAAAACCTCATCTCTGGGAACTTCCCACTGATTTTTATTTGCATCACAAGAACACCCTCAGTCTGTCACAGACCAGGCGAAGGTATTTTGCTGTTCTGTTTTTTTTGTTGTTGTTTGGTATTGCTCTAATAAATTTAAAAATGCTTGTTGTTAATGAAGTAATTTGGTCAGCCTGTCAAAAACTTGCTTATTGTTTTTTAAGTTTTTACAAAAACTTAAAAAAAAACCCAAACCTTCAAGAGATTACCAAAAATGTTGGATGTTGGTGTTTTGCAGGATTTGCTTTAGTATGTTATTGTCCTGTTGTACTGAAAAAAGAAGTTTCATTTCATATGAAAATCTAGTCTGCAATGTGAAGTGCTTCTCTATTTTACTGAAGTACAGTTACCACTGTCTCATTAAGCAATATACTGGTGTATTTCTTCTGATGTTCAGATTTATTGTCAGTGCTGTATTTGAGATTAGGTGATGAGGGTAACATTTGTTGGGTTTTTTTTGTGTAATGCACTTAGTCTGCAGCTGTGCATACCAAGAAGCCCATGATTTTCTACCTTCCTTTCAGCCATGTCTAGCCTGTTCTGAAGACTGTTTTTCTTCTTTTGTGTTCCATTGTAGTTGCATATGTAATATATAGAAATATATACAGAAATAATAGGACTAAAGTGTAAAAATTTTAAAGTAATTTTAGAGTGCTTCACAACATGGAATGATTTTGTTTAAGGATTATAAATATTGCATGTAAAAAACATAAATTCGTTTTAATAATAAGGACAGTACTAGACTTGTTAGCTAAATAATCTCTTTTAGGAATTTCACTGTATCTTTGTTCATTCTGTGAGTCTTAAGCTCTATTACAAATGGTAAATCTGAATATCTGCATTTAGATTTTTGTCTGGGGAAAATTGCAAGTGTTTAAACAGTGTGTTCAGTCCCTGTGGGCTGCTTATTCCATTAACCTGGCATGGCAACTGGCATGTGATATGACTGTTCTAAATTTCAACCCTTTTGTATCATCTCCTGAGGCTTCTTTTGATGTTAGCTCATACCAGCCACACAACCAAGTGCTATTTCAGTCACACGTGAAACATGCAACATTAATTTTATAGCCTCCTGGTTTCGAACATAATTGTATGTCAAAAATGAATTCAGCTGATCAGCACTGGTGAGGCCACACCTTGAGTACTGTGTCCAGTTTTGGGCCCCTCACTTCAAGAAGGACATTGAGGTGCTGGAGCGGGTTCAGAGAAGAGCAACGAAACTAGTGAAGGGTTTAGAGAACTTGTCCTATGATGAGCAGCTGAGAGAGCTGGGACTGTTTAGTCTGGAGAAGAGGAGGCTCAGGGGGGACCTTATCGCTCTCTACAATTGCCTGAAAGGAAGTTGTAGGGAGATGGGCGTCGGTCTCTTCTCCCACGGTATGAATGACAGGACGAGAGGGAATGGCCTCAAGTTGCACCAGGGGAAATTTAGGTTAGATATCAGGAAGAATTTCTTTGCAGAGAGGGGTGTGAAGTATTGGAACAGGCTGCCCAGGGAGGTGGTGGAGTCCCCATGCCTGGAGGTGTTTAAAAACCGTGTGGACTTGGTGTTGAGCAACATGGTTTAGCATGTCATGCAACATGCATGACAGTGCAGGGTGAATGGTTGGACTCGATGATCTTGAAGGTCTCTTCCAACCAGGCAATTCTATGATTCTGTGATCGCAAATACACGAATGTCCTAGTCTCCCTTTTATGTGTTACCCTGTTAAGCAAGTCTTATTTGTCACAGATACTGTTCTCAAATGAGGTGGAACATTTAAAAAAAATAAAATTCTTGGCAATCTTCATTTACTAATTAATTAGTTTTATGTTTCATTCTGGACAGAATTTCTTCTGAGCACATACACAACCACGTTTTCTCATGTGAACAAAATGACACCTCCATGCAATAAGTAGTTAGCTGAGAAAAGCTCTTCCAAGTAAGCTTTTGTTTCTACCAAACTCTTGGACAAGTTCTTCATATAACTTCTTCCTGCCCCTCTGTGCAGTGCCTCTGTTGGATTCCCTGGGCACAGCAGCGATGGAAATAATGAAAACGCGTTTAAAAAATCAAGGATATAAGAAGAAACAGAAGATGTTGTTTCCTGTCATAGAAACTGCTTTTAGACTATGTTGTATTCGCCTCCCCATCAGAAAGAAGAGAGTTTCATGTATTGCTTTTATATAATTTGGGATTCATGTGAAAGGACAGTGAATAAGGAAAAGGGGACTTTCTGTTTCCACGTTACTCAGTTTTGCTGCTTGCATAAACGATATGTCTGCATAGTTTCTGAAGGCACTGGAGAAAATGGCTTCCCAGCGTGGCCTGATACAGTACTGCAGAAGAGATGGGACCGTCAGGCATAACTCATTCCTTTTTCTCTAGGACATACACTGCTCTTGGAATTACAGTGTGTTGCCCTGCCCGTTGTGCACCATTTGCTAAACCCCACTAACAAGTCTATCTCTGGATATGGGAATACACCCAGTGTTTCTGCTCCAGATGACTGCATTGACATGAGTAGGAGATAACCGCATTAATACTCTAATTACAGCCTTTACAGTATTGTGAATACGCACATATATGAAATAAAAATCAGTGAAGATAAATGTCTTTTCATCCTAAGTAAAGAAATAGAGGGAACTATCAGAATAATTTAGAGAAGAAATTGAAGTATATTTGAGATGAGAAAAATATGTAAATATGAATGAAAGGTAAAACATGCTTTATTTTATGAATGTTGCTTGACTTCCTTTGTTCTTTTTCAGAAATCCTGAATAAGCTTCCAGCAGGCCCTTTTTTTTTTTTTTTTTTTCTGTTAGTTATTCCAATGTACGGTTCTCAGACTTAGGGCAGCTGTCACATCAAAATATATTTCTACGTGTAGAAGTCAGCTGCTTTTACAATTTCTTGATTTTGTTATCATTAACCTTCATTTCTTCATACCCTTTTCCTAAATTTTAGGATCTGAATAAGAAGTGGTGGGTGAATGCTTTCTTTTAAAAAAAAATGATGAGAACAAGAGAAATACATAAATACCTTCTATGTGTACTAAGACCTCATTTTTCAGTACTGTAGAGGTAGGCACCTGAGATGTATTTTGTTTAATGGAACAAAACCACTCCTCCCTCCATACCTGTATTGAGCTTCGTGTGTTTGAATTTCATGGCCTGAGAGCTAAACAGTAGGTTAGAGGCCTGTTGAGGTCCCCCATCCAAGTATAATTCTTTACTTTCTTCTACACTTGAATTATAAAGAAATGTTTACTAAAGTGACACAGTATGATTGCATAACTTATGTGCAAACATTTAGAGTGGATACAAGATCAAATCTTTTGTATCAATTGTGTGTCTGTTTTTCCTGTACAGCTATACTTACTGGTGGACCACAGGTGTGCTAAAGCATTTACCTCTTCCTTTTGATGAAGGTAGGAACTGTATTTGCTCCTTGTCTTACAAAGTATCTTGAAAAAGAAGTTTGTCACCAGTGCTTTTTAACTGTTTTGGATCCCAAATCTGGGAAAAAAAAAAAAGTTTCCATAATGACTGCTAAATACTATTTTTTCCACAATGAGCTATGATTTTTTAACTGCAGGATGCAAGACATACCTAATGGGCTAAGACTTAACCTCCATACGTTTATGGGCCAAGGCACACTTCATTCTTTTTTTTTTCCTTGCCTGTTAATATATATTCATAGTGTAAGGTGGTGGTTACATTCCTGTTGCAGATGACAGGTATAGCTAGTGTGTTTTATTTCTCTGGGATACTGTGGAGCATGTTTTATTAGGAATTGTCGTCATGAAGGGAAATCAAATTATGGTTGTTGATAGTTCATATTTATTAAAGATGTGCTGTGCATCTCCTTCCTATCATATTTGCTTGTTTTAGAGGGGATATGACTGTAGAAAAATGCCTGGTAGGGTGGCTAGGTAAGCAGGCTACAGTTCAGATTTTTGCAGAGTCAGTAATTGCTAGTAAAAAGATTTTTTTTTTTTATCTTTGCCTCAGTGACATGTGCTGAAAACAGACGCAAGTTAACAGTGAAGAAATTCCACAAGTATGAAGAGGAAATTGATATCCACAATGAGTTTTTTCGGCCATATGAGTTGAGCAGTTTTGATGAGACCTTCTGCTTGGCAATGACCAATTCCACAAGGTATATTGGGATGTTTTGGGACTATAAATCCTTAACTGGAAGTTGATTTGGTGTGAATTAAATGTACATTAAATTTGTTTGGTTAAATCTGCGCAACACGATAGATTTTGTAGTATGGTTTGGGTTTTTTAAGCTTCAAATTTAGCAATCTTCTAGAAACTAAATTACAATAATGAAATGGAAATGCTAGTCTAAAAAGTTCTGTTAAGATAGCACTCAAATTTCCAATTATTTTCCATTTGGAGGTGCCAAATATTTGTGCACTTGAAGGCTGAGAAATGGGCTTTTCTGCGTGGACTCATTAGATCACAGAGACTACCTTCAAAGCAATTGTTTTCTAATTTCTCTGCTCTCACTTTACAATTGTTTTCTTCAGTTCATCTGGTTCTCATGGCTGGCCAGATAATTTTTTTTTTTTTTGGTAGCAATCAGCTGGATATTCTAAGCATAATGTTAATTACACTTTAGCTAAAGACTTGCAGGTTATGTTTCATGTAGCTTTTTGACCAAATTTGTGTGTTGGCAGCATTTTGAAAACAATATAGCTGAGTTACAAGGCTTCTTCAGCACAGGAATGGAGTACATTGCTCTAACCTTCTTGGCAAGTGGTAATGTTTGCAGCTGTTTTATGGCACTAAATAATGCAACTGAAAGCTTTTTAAATAACTAGGGGTTTATATTTACATGACTTTAGCTTAGAATTATGAAGCTAGAAGTTGAAGTCTCTTTTTTAAATGATATTTATTTATTTATTTATTTCAAAAGTAGATGTTAGAGGTGGTTCTTCCAGGAAAATTTAAAAATGTTGTGTTGAACTTTGCTCATGAACGGTTTTTCCTTTCTATTTTGCCAGAGATTTTATGCCTAAGAACGTGGGGATTGATCCAAGTCCATTTACTGTTCGTAAACCTGATGAAACTGGAAAATCAGTGTTGGGGTAAGCCTGAAATACAAAATTTTGTTCTGGTTTAATAATAGTGCAATTGTAATGCAAATATATAAACTCTATGTGTGTGTTGTGTAGCATATTCTCTGTTACATGAGAATTAAAAATCATTGTTATTAAACTGTACAATTGTACACTTGGAAAATCATATCGACTTTGAGATTTTTATTTGACCCTGGCAATTCTTTATTCAGACTTGGTTAATATTTTGGTTTCTTCTACTCCTCTAAGTGAAACCCATGAGAAAATTTTATCTAGAATAAGCATAACATGTTAAAATTTGATCATCTCTTCATACTAGTGGCAACTGTATTATCTATTGGAGCTGACAGGAACGCATCTATTATTGTTGTCTTTTAAAAAAAAAAAAAGAATAAATTTTGAATAAATAGAACATACCCTGAAGCAACAAGAAATGCCAACTTCAGCATAGTTTTTTGTAAAAAATGTTATGAGACTATTTATAGATAAAATTATATAAAACAATTCAGCAACAGTTATTGGAACAAATGAATGTTTCATTTAGCTGCTTTTGCATCCTGGACTTGCTTTGTTACTTTATTTATTGCATTGTTGTGTTTGATCTGCTGTATCACACAAGGGCTATGAGGACTGTTCCTGGATCACTTTTCATTCTCTATTTGATACCTCATATTATGGAAACCTTTTGTCAGCAATGACTAAACCTGTGCTGTCACAACATTATAAGTTCTTCGGAAAACTTGCTGTTCTGTTCAAAGCTACAAAATTTGACTGTCTCATAAAGAACATCCATTGTGCCTTGACCCTGAGGACTCGCTGTCAATAAATGTTGAGAGTAGACTATGCTTACCACTACTAGAACTTGATTTCTTGCTACTGATGTTCCCTGGGAATAAGTAGAAAGACTGTTCAACAGTTACACAATTTACCTCTGCTAAGAACTATTAGTTTATGGGTGCTTTTAAGGATAAGCTTTGTTCTTCTGCTTTGATATGATGTCAGATTTGGGACTAACTAATTTCTGTCCAGACATTCCATTAAGTACTTGACCATTATACATTTTTCTCAAGCTCTCCACTGTGATTTTTAGGGATTGTTATTAGATAGAGAATCAGCTGGATCAAAGACAAGTTCCAGGACTCTGACTATTGCTCATAAAACTTTCCATGCATTGGCTGTGTAGTGGGGTAAAAGGTGGTGTCAATCTTCCACCTTACCTATATTTAGACCTTGGTAATAGTGGTAACTTTGACTTGCACATTTGTCATAAACTTTTGATCTACTATGGCATTTCTGGAGGATTTGGTGATCTTTTTTCATCTCTAAGTGTTCTGGTTGCCCAGGACAATTAGATCGTCACTGCCTTCTTAGTATGTGTTGAGGGTGGGGTGGGCATATCACTCTTATCAGTGTTTGGCTACTTGCTCCATTCTTCAGCTTTCAGAAAGGACTGATTTTCTTGTGACCTCCACCTCGTTTAGAAAAGTAGGGAAGATAATAATTTTCTCTAAAAAGAATGCGGTATGTCTTCATAACTTTCTGTAAATTTCAATCTAACGAGATGTCAGTTTCCACTGGCTTAGAAATTAAATTTACCTGTTTGGGTTTTTTCCCTAAGGCATTTGTTCCAGCTGTAAGAATTCTGATACATTAATGTCCTTGGGGGTGGGGTATGCTCTCAGATCAAGACTCTTTGGGAGGATTCTCCTACTTGTTTGTATGTGTACCTAAAGCACATAAAGTTCAGCTAATTCACTACGGAGATGAATTGCTGTACGAGTTTGCAAAAGGCAGAACTCTTTGTGACAGTCATGGTATGCCCCACTGCAGCTCAAGTGGTGAGCTCCACACCTTTACTGATGAGAACACTAGAGATGCAACTCGGAGTAGCATTTGCACCAAACTGCATGCTGTTGTCAAACAGCTTGCTTCTGTCTTACTTTAGGATAAGTCACACAGAATGTCAGTGTATGTATGGACAGTCACCTCAGCAAGGAGGAGAAGTTGCTTCCCTGTTTCCAGAGCTAATTTGTCTATAAACATATTCATTACTAGCCTTCTAGTCCCTCTTCCTCCAAACTGAAAGATTGTGACAATGTCTGAGAGGAAAGTGCAACCACATACCCTTCTATGGCTGTTAGGAAAGGACGTGGAGGACGTCAGGGTGCAACTATTTCAGATGGGTAAAGTAACGTACACCTTTCTGAGCTGGTGTAGTTAAACACACTGTTAGCATACAAAACTATAGATGCTGTACTTTGAAGAATTCTTACAAATAAAGCACCTCTTTATGTTGACTAGATTTTCTAGACTGAGAAGTACATGTCACATAAAGAAGTGCTGCTGATTAAAGAACTAAATCGAGGGGAGAGGTATGGAAAACGAAGGGGAAAAAGTGACATTAGGTTTAAGATTTTTGGGCCTGAAAATAAGACAGTGGAGCGGGTTATGTTGTTAATCAGAAACTGAAACTTTTTCCCAGATCAAAGCCAAAGATGATGTGTCTTAGTGTATTTTTATTCCTTTTTATTCATTCAATCTAGCGGAAAGATTTAAGTAAAGAGCCAGAGAATTGGTGGGAAAAGCTGGCATAATCCTGAGAGCTCTCTTTAAATTCTCTGGAATAAGAAGAGATTAATGAAAAGTAAATCAATTGGGGGATTAAAAAGATGAGCAATAAGTTGTTCCAGAGGATAAAACTTATTTCCCCCAGTAACATTATAATAAAAATTAGGAATTTTAAATATTTGTTGTTAATATCTTGCTGATTTCCTAAAATACACACTGCCTTTCATAATAGGAACAAAAGTAATAGAGAAGAGACTGTGCTGCAACGCAAAACAGCTGCTAGTGCTCCACCACCCCCAAGTGAGGAAGCAGTGTCAAGTAGTTCTGAAGATGATTCTGGGACAGACAAAGAAGATGAAGGTGCTGTTTCTCAACGTTCGACTCCAGTGAAGGTGACTGATACAGGAGATAATACAAAAATCACAGAGGTAAGAAATTACTGGGGCAGACAAGGAGGTTAATCATGGCCTTAGAATTCACGTTTCCTGAAAAAAACCCAACCAGCAAATGTTATAGAACCGTCAGAAGTAAAGCACTGAGAAAGTAAATGACAAGGGTCTCCAGTGTATTTTCTTTGTGTGGATACTAGCAAAATTAGTTATAAAACTTCACTATTATTCTTGGCAAGTAATAGTGAAAAACAGTGGAAAATAACATTTTCAAAAAACTAAGAATACCATTGGAAACCTGTGGTATTTGAAAGGTACTCAGGTCAAGTGTAGTCTAGAATATTAAGCATAAAATATATCTACGTTAGTGTGTTAATTCAGAGCAGTAGTGCATTTCTCATCATTGTCCCTTACCGTGCTCTGGCTCGCATCACGGTGTGGTCTTGCAGCATGCAAATGGGATTCCTTTTGGGTGAAACTGAACTGGGAGGTGCTTCTCCAAGAACGTACCTGATCTACCTCACTAATCCCATTAGTCCATGGGAGTTAATCTGGAGCAAGCCCCCTGAGAGACATGTAGTGTGGATCTGAGGTCCTGAGCAGCACTTCTTTCAGTTACGATTCCTTTTGAATGATGCCACTTGCTCACATGAATATAACTGTAAATTAGTGTTCAATCTGACTAAATTTCAACCTGATCTATATGAAGATTTTAAAATTGCTGTTTCATGTGGTCTGACATTTGCCAAAAAAAAAAAAAAAAGAAATTAAACTAAGTCCAAAATTGTGCGTGATAATTTTGTCACATTGGTCCTATGCTATTACTGCTGCAAAGGCTGAAGATAATGGCAGGATAATAGTGAAATCGTGTATGCACAGTCATATGAAAAGAGTGTGTGTTCTCACTTGTGGGCTATTAATCTCTTTTTGCTAACATAACTCTAATTCTATTAGAATCCCTTGGGGGCTAATTTAATGAAAATATTAATTTTTATGAAGTATTATGCAAATGTCTTTTTTATTAATTCATGTAACATTCCTTCAAATTCTTTCTTGTAGATACCCATTTTGGGTGCCACCGAAAATGTCTTAGCAAAAGGATATGTGAATGGAGATTATACATATTTGCGAAATACTTACGTTGTTTTGGGGAGATATTTTTTTTTTGAGTCACAGCTAATTTAAATGGTTATAGTGTTGTGCTTGTATATGTTATATGTATATGTTATGTTGTGCTTGTATATGTTATTCTTACCATTGCACAAATTACCTCACTTGGGTTTTTCCATCTGTGTATTGAACGCACTTCAATACTCAGACCTAAGGCATCTTTTTAGAATTTTAAGATGCTTAAGTGAAAGATGCATGTAAACACAAAATAGGCTTAAAGACAGTATTGAATTTTAATGGCTTACAATTGCATGTGCTATTCTGATTCTTTTAGTAATGCACGTGAAGGAATATTTTTCCATTTTATTAGCACCTTTTCGTTCATGGAATTTTAGTCGTAATTTGCATTGTTAATTTGTGTAATTTCTTATTAAAATTGCTGTGCTGAAAAGGATTACCTGTTCAGTTATGCTGAATTACTACTTTAGCAATTAACTTGGGTTATCATTAATGTCTGTCTGCCATTGTAAATTTGTTTATTCTCTTCCGAGTACAAAGCTTCTCTTAAATCTATTGTTTTTGAGGGCATGATGTTTATGGAAACTTCCTGTTCCGAAACTAAATATAAAAATTAGTAGTCTTAAAGACTGTGTGAGACATTAGATTTTAATGTGTTCTCCAGCTGATCTTCATTTATCTCGTGAAGTGTTGTTTCTTCATTACCAGGCTAAGTAGAGCATCAAATATAGGCTTTTCAAGAAAAGTGTTGGATTTATTTTTCTGGCAATGGCAATTATTTGTTGTGTCTACACATGTAGTTAAAAAGTTAAAAAAGATGACCTGTAATGGAGAGTTTCAAAACTTGATGGCTAAACTGAATAACGTAATAAGAAACAAAACAACTATCTAGTTGATTAAATAAGCATCTGTTTTCTAGAACTATTTTAGGTACTTTTTTTTCTCCCTACGTTAAGCTTAACTTAAAAAAGAAACTTTAATGAAGAATTCATTTCAAAGCCTAAGCTTACAAATATTCCATTTTATGTCTCCATTAGCTAAACTGACAACTTACTACCACTCTAACCAGTGTCAGCCCACGCTTTACTGTTTTCTCATTTGTGAAAATGGATTGTGTATGATATTGTTCAAAAATACTAGAAGTTTTAGGTGAAAAACACTAGTGTGAGGTATTTTTGTTTGGAAAAGAGTGGATGTTCATAAGCTGATATTTTTAGGTGCATTACTGAGTAAATATGGTTATTCCAGAATGATTGGATGCTTCGTCAGGGATTTGAATTTTGGTATTTTTTTACATCAGCAACTGTAGACTAGAGAAAAATTGTATCATTGCAACAGGCGGGGAGAAACGTTCCTTTTTATTCACATGTCACAGAAGTTAATAAAAAAATGCTTTTATACTTGTGGTCAGGACATGTCTTTCCCAAGTTCTTCTTTGAGTTTTGGTCTTTTCGAACTAAAAGAAAACTATTTTTATAGTTGCTGTACTTGCAGTCACATGTATCTTGTCAGTAAACCCCCTCAGTTTCACACTGAATCATTAGACATAGTGAAGAATTGCATGTGCATTGGCTCCTTGTTATAGTTGACTGACATGATTGTGTAACACATAAAAAATAGTTTTGTTCAACCTAAGTTTGTAATTATTTCAGAATTGACAGCAGAAAATGTGAAAGTAAATGTGGGAGCATTTGCTGAATGAATACAATTTATTCTATTTTAAATTTCAACACTGAACAGAATTTAATACCTACATCATTATATGTCCTATAAATATAATTTATTCTCCTAATATGTTGTTTTATCTGATGTAATCCTTCAAGAATTGTTTTTAATTGTTGAATAAATATATTGAAGAATATTTTAAATACCTTATTTTTATTAAAAAAACCAACAACAACACAGCATGCACAAGCTAAGGTTATTACATATATGAGAAACTTACTTGGTTTTGCCTGCACTTTCAAAATTATTTTCAGGTTTAGAAATAATTCCTTGCTTGAAAGCAAACTTTTATTTGGATGTTGTTACTATATCCTCAGTCTGAATCTTTCTTCTTATGTTTCAGAATGTAGTGCAATCAACAAAAGATGTGTATGGAGTCAATCTTTCAGATGTTCCTTCAGAAGATGATCTCTCAGTATATACTAGGTGAGATAAGTTTCCAGTGGTAATCAGTAAAAGATAATTGGAGCTAGTTAAATACAGCTTGTCAAATTGCTGCCTTTGATTGAACTTAATGAAATTATAAATTTTAGATATATTTGGATATATGCTATTCTGGTTTTAAAATCAAACTATTCTGGTTTTAGAATCAAACTGTTTTCAGATGTCTGTGTCAGCTCTGATTTCAGTGGAAGTTATGCAGATGTCTGAATGCAAAATTTGGAACTTGAATGAAAGATGCTTCAATAGAAATATCTGTCACTTAATATAGTCCTAGAAATTAAAAAGCAAATTCCATATTAGGAGTGGTTCCATGATTCTAAGCCATGTAGTCTGTGATTTTTTTGCATTTTTCAAATGTTGAATTGCACTAATTCAGATCAGTCATAAGTGTAATAACGTCTTCTATGAAATGCATACAAAACAACGGAAGTCTTTTGTTAACATAATGTCTTACTCGTAGAGATATGTGTTAACTGTTGTCTTTTGCTCAAATTTAGATAATTGTGTGACTCTTCATGTTCAAGGAAGATTATTTTTGAGTAATATTCAGCCTTTTTCTTGAAACATCTTGGCCTTTTGAGCTTGAAATAAAAAAAAATATGGATTTTATAGGGAGACCTTGAGACCGTTACTAAATCTGGTATAGACTATGAGCAGAAAAGTTTAGAAGAGCAGTCAGAATAACTCACACTGTAGAAGCATGGATATCTAAGTGACAGATATTTGTACTGTAAGTTTCAGGAGAGGGACAAGTCGGTTTGACCCTTGCCATTATCAGAGTTTCATGAAATAACAACATGCAAATATATGTGGTATGGGGGTTACGTGTGTGTCTACGTATATGCACTGCACTAAATGTAGTGTGTGTAATAATGTGCTCTTACACGCTGTATTGTGAACAGCATCATACTGCCACTTGTTCTTAATAAATGGATTTGTGAATTCAAACCATACATATAGGAAACGAGTATAATACAGCGTGGTGCAAGACAAAATACAGCTCCTTAGGTGGTCCAGCAAGTTCCCACTCAATTCCTGCACTTTGTGGTATACTGTTAAAATGTAAGGCAGCATGCTGCATGGCACCTGCAGGCTCTCCTTCAGGAGCTGGGAGCTGCTGGCTTACTGTGAGCAGTTGGAGGTAAGAGTCAGTGAGCAAGCATCAAAGTGTCACCTTCCACTCAGCTCCAACTACACAAAAACTTCTGCTTTTATTCAAGGGTAACTTGGACATTTATCCTGTACGAGACAGTTGTTACCACTCCTGCAGGAGCCATGAACTGCCTGGTCCCCAAGAGCAGTCAGCAAATTAATAGTGTGCTTCTCCAACGACAGACAGTGACTCCCACTGTATCAGTGAATTCCCGTAACCCCACATAGAGCACTGGCTATGTGTTAGCATTGTTAAAAAATGTGTACTCTAAGCCATTGTTCTCCTCAATATCACAGAATAACACTGAAGCCAAAAACACCCCCTGGTTTAAATTTTCTTTTTTTTTTTTTTAATTTAATTAATCAGAAATTAATTTGAACGTTTTGAAGTTTTTTAACTCAAGTCAAAACTGAACTAGAATAATTTCAGTTATAGATGAACTAGAACTGAACCAAAAAGTTACTTATTCGGTTCCCTGGTGGAGGAGATTCTTTCCTAAACTGCAATCTTTTTCTTTGAAAACTAATCAGAATAATAGGAATTCAGAGCTGAAGGTCAGCTGGAGAAATTTAGGTCCAAATTATAGACCCCCTTAGGGGGGTCTTTAACTTCACCTCTGCCTCTAGCTTTGGTTCCTTATTTTAACACTAGAAAATGGATGCCAATTTGACAATTACTCTTTGGTATACTGGATAGTTATTGTTGTTCTGGAAATGGTCCTGTGTGAGCTGATGTCTACTACAAGTAACTTTGTGCAGATGAGCAACTCTGTGATAATAACATCCAGAATTGGAGCTGCTTCCCATTTTGTCATTTCTTAGGCTGAACTAACATTTGGTCTCTTGTTACAGTAGCGCTGTAAACTCCATGGGAGCTTTGGAGCTCCCTATTTATATCCTTTTCAAGACAAAAAAAAGCTTGCATTTATTTAATTTCCGTCAAGTAATGCAGGCTTTAAAAATACAACAATTAGAAATTCGTTACTTCTTGTTGCTAACAAGATGTAGTGCTATTTACAGTCTGATGTGCTGACATAGGTGGAAAGTATAGACTCTACTGACATCCTTTATTACAACGTACATCGTTTGAGAATAGCAGCAATTTGCTTCACAGTATCATTATTTATTTCAAGTTCTCACTTGAAGTCTTTTTCTATTATTGTAATAAGGGAAATGGAGAGGTGAGATCCTGGCTGTACTTGATGTTGGGCGTGTTACATATTGTTTTTTCTTTATTAGCATCAGGGACTCAGGTTTGAAGTACCTCAGGTAAAGTTCCTTTATGTCAACTGATCTATATTAAGTATCAATGCAAATGAAAAGTAATTTGAATCTGTTCAGCCCACTTTCACTGATGGCTGATAACTTGTGTTAATTCTTATCAAAATAGAGATCATGGAAGCACAGATTGGTTGAGGTTGGAAGGGACGGGAGGTCCCTCAAATAATTTGAGGATGTGCACTGCAGATCAGCTGTGCGTGGTGTCTTACTGATGTCTGGTAACTTACTTGTGTTAATTTAGGCCTTGTTTGTTTCAGAATCTTGGATGATTTGAAGCAATGAATATAAAATCCTTACACCTTTAGTTTGCCTTTATTCGTTTTTTTTTTTACACTTGTTTCAATAGCAAGCTCCTGCACTAGAAGATCTTAATTATCTGTATTTCCGCTTAAAATTCTCTTATTTAGAAATATAAATATTTATTCCTGCAACATCCAAAGTGATGTCACGTGTATCTGAGGCTTTTGTTTCTACAGTATAGAATCTGAATGGAGTAGAAAAAAAAGCCACAACAAGTTGTTTAGGACTGTATTGTTCCTTTGTCTTCTGTACATTCTTCCATGCAATTGCTTTTGCACTGTTAATTGTCCTCTGTTAAAATGTAGTAAATATTTCTGAAATAAACCAGTAAGACTATTTTTAAGCTAAATGGAACCTAACTATTAAAAACCCTCTGCCTCAGAAAATTGAAGTATTAAATCACAACTAACATTTACTTCTGTTTTCAGTAGCAGAGATGTGCTGGAGGGTGAACAGATTGAGTGCAAGATAACTACATATACATATATTTGAAACCCTCTGACTTTTCCTCTTAGACTGAGTGAATCAGATTAGTGGTTAACTATTTTTTTTTTTTAATTTTGCTCCAATTCATTGCTATGAAAAAAAGCCATAACAATATTTCCCGTCTTCAGTGTCTTCCAGCAAATATTTGGAGCTGAGGGAATTCTCCCCAAAAGTTGTGCTTGTAAATAAGTGAGCTGGACTAACAGTGTTTCAGCTGAATAAACTAGCTTGAATTTGGCTGAGGACTGACTTAAATCTGAAACTTGAGAGACTTTCTCTCTCCTCTGTTGTTTTTTCCCATAGGCTATTCATCTGACTGATTGCTTTGAAAAAGACAGAGAAAGTTGACTGCAGCAGGCTGCCTGTTTCATAGGAGCAGAGGCCTGTTTCTGCCACTTGACATACTAGGTGACTCCAATTGATAGGCAAATCTTTTTCGAGCTAAAAGGAGATGCTGAGTTCTCACATGCACCCACTGTAAAGTTTTAAAAATCCCTCTTGTTTACCAGAGAGGTAGGTCATGATCAGTGATTTACATATCATGACTTAAAGACTCATTTTTTAATGTCATTTTCTTTCATTTGCTGAATTTTTTGGGGGTAGTTCTTTTACTTTCTTTGATTTTTATTTTTTTTTCTCCTGTCTACTGCCTTTCACAGATTTGTTCAGCTGGGACAGAGTCAGCATAAACAAGACAAGAGCAGCCAGCAATTTTGCTCAAAACACCACTTGGATAGGGTTATAAATTTGTAAGTATTCTTCTTCTTTTTCCCTTTAGCCTATTTCTTTTTGCTTTTGTCATTAGACCTGAAAAATCATCAGGTAAATTTGATGTTAAATTGTCGAAGTCATACTTCTGTTGCCTTTACTGCATAAGGGGATTCAATGCATAGCACGAAGAACTGGGTTCTTATTTCACCCTTGTAACTTTAAAAGTGTTGGTTTTTGTGGTAGGGTTTTTTGGGTGGCTTTTTTTTTTTGTATTGACAAAATTTTTGTATTCAAAATTCTTAGTAATTGTGAGTTATCACAACACAAAGTGCTGAAGTTACTGGCAATTTCTTCTTGCTTTTGAAAGAGGTAGTTTGAAGGAGATTGGTTGACTTGCATATTCTTCATTAAAAAAAAAATCAAAATTGCAATTCATAGATTCATAGATTTCTAGGT